CTCGAAGTTTGCCCAGGTACAACCTGGACCCGACCGAGTCGCCCCTAGTTGCGTTTATCATTGCACGCAGCAGCTCCTAACGAGGGCCGAAGCGAGACCGAGAAAAGGTGCGATGCTGCAGGTGGTGCTGCGGGTGATAGCGTTCGGGGTAGTGGTAGTTGCTTCAGCACTGCAGTGGCGGCAGAGTAGCCAACGAAAACAGCAGCTATAGCAGTAGCAGTAGTAGCAGTAATTATTAGCCCTTTCTTGGCGTGCCTTTGGCAGCTGGCTAGGCGGAAGTTAGCAAGCTTCTGTCTGTCGATCGTGCGAACGTCGTGTCGTGACCCAGCTGTTCACTCGGCATGAATGAAGATTCACTGGCTAGGACGCGGACTGCAGGCATTTTTGACACGTGCAAAGCAAAGTCCTTTTATCTTAAAGCCATTTTTTGACTTTGAGTCAGGCAGCTTCTTCGTATTTATGTTTCAGCTGTGTGAAGGGAAGATCCTACCAAACCAAACTGCGACCTTCCACTGAACCTCGGCTATGTTCAGAGGAATTGGGGACGGGAAGGCGACCCTCCCCGTGGGCAGGTGATTGAGCGCTACTCCACGAATCTCAGAGCAGGCCGGTCTTCGCAGAACACAGCATGGTCCTTGAGGCTTACTTGGAGGTTCATGGGTAGTTATAAGTGGAGTTATAAGTCCCACAATATAGGTTATAACTATAGTAGCGCTACTTATATACCGCACTTTTAACTACCCATGAAGCTCCAAGTAGGGTTTCTCTATCCATGGTTCGGCTACTGCCAAGACAGGTTCCTGGAGGGGACGTCGATTGAATGCTCGCATATCCTGTACATGGCACCCTACCTCCCAAAACCATTCCGACTGAACCCTGGCAAGATGTTGTTCTTCTCCATTCTCTGTGGGGGTGTGATGCCCAGCTTACTTTTCAGCCTGAAAGCTGAAAGATGTCTGATTTGACTGCGACATGGTGTAGCCTCGCCTGCTTTTGCCTTGGCCCTTGGCCGGCTGGTTTGACTCGTTTTGTGTTATAGACTTTAGGGTTTAGTGTATGGGTGATCATGCCGTCACACTACAGCGTGCTGACTTGCACGCGACCGGCCGAAAACACTCCAAACCCCAATGTCGGTGTCTAAATACTTCGAAAAGGGTTTTGGGGGGTTCCGTGTTATAATTGTAGTAGAATATACCCCGAAACCCTATGTAACTATTCAGGCCCCTTTTTTAAACCCCAAAACCCCGAACCTCCGGGTCCACGCCAAGATCCGGAGCCTGGACTCCACATCCCAAAATCCCCAGACCTTCGATAATTTTCCTCTGTGTTGATTTAAATCTAAGCTTGGCTTAGGAAGGCTTCGGAATTTTAGATGCAGACTTGATCTGCATTGAGTGTATTTTGTGGGACCTGGTGTTTAGGATATGAAGGAACCCAGACATGTCGACCGAACACGAGCCCTTTTTGCAGGTCTGTCCACTGCGGATGCCGATAAGAAGCTGAAGGTGTGGGAGTCCCGAGTTTAAGGGAGGCGGTTCGGGGCTTGGAGGAGAAAGAGGCGTGGTTTAGGGTTTAGGGTTTAGGGTTTAGGGTTTAGGGGGTGGGCTCTTGGAGGGAGAGCGTTTCCGACATGGGGTGTAGCAGGGATTACCCTATAAATCCTAAGCTTAAATCCACACCTGTTGGCCACCGCCCGAGTCTTCGTTAATTCTGCTCTGCATTCTGGCCTCCTAAGTGAGTTTGCAAGTCGGGCTCAGATTGAGGGAGTGCAGGCTGAGGCGGACTTTTATGGGTGGGCATGAGGTTCGGTCGGACACGACACTTTAAAACCACATCTGCCACCCGTGATTCGGGGGGCGCTTGGCCTGTACCAGGATGCCGTTCGCTTGCTTACGGGGTGAAAGGCGCAGTCCCTAGGTGCCCAAACCGATTCGCCATGTCATTCTGGAGTGGGACTACTGCAAAATCTGGGCAATTAAGGGCCCTCTGTCTGTTGGACTCTCAAAAGAGTACCTCGCGCTGACGACAGGGAGCCGAATTCAGAGAGCCCGGCTCTTACCCTCAAGTTCTGGAGCTCGCATGTTCATAAGGACCCTTAGAGGCGTTGGGGGAAAGGGGGTACTTGGAGGTTCATGGGTAATTATAAGTAGGGTAACTATAGTTATAACCTATATTCGGGGACTGATAACTCCACTTATAACTACCCATGAACCTCCAAGTAGGGTGCCTTGATCTGCTTCCCAGGAGGATGGACTCAACGAGCTGCACAAGCCACCCAAGCCAACCTTGCTGATGCTCTTCATCATGCAGTCACATGGTCGAATTCTTCTGGAGTCTTTGGTTCTAGGTCACTTCAGGGATTTAGGGGCACAAAGCGGTTTGATGAGAGCTTTCTGGGTTCGCAAGGTGCTCGTCCACTTAATACAGGGGCCTAAACAATTACGAATACGATTATCACAGTATATCATACCCCCAAAACCTTTTCGAGTATGAGGGCCTCTATATTGCATACTGCCTTTGACTGAGTGTAGTCTTTTCTCACAAGAGGATAGTGTTGGTCTTCATGCCGATTTGTCCGAAGCCAGGCTACTGGGATTTATCATCATCCTCCTCATCATTGCGGCTGTGGCATCTATGGCTGTGCCACTCAGACTTCCACAGCTAGGCCTTGAGATTGCAAACTGAACGGCCTTTGGGTTTACATGTCATGTCGGGTATTGGAGTTTTAAGTTTAATGATGCATTGAATCCTACACCCTAAAGCTCTAAAGTCTAAACCCCTAAACCCTAAACTGTTAAATTGCTCTGGATTTCCTAAACCCTAAACCCTAAACCCTAAACCCCATAGTGTTCCCTGAAGTCAGTGGTTGATACCGAAAGCCCTGATCGCTTCAATCCTAGAGTCCTAGAGCAAACCGCAAATCCGCGGCTTGCAGAATTGTGCTATAGGGGTTTAGGGTTTAGGGTTCAGCCTTGGGATTTCGGGTTTAGGTTCTTGGAGTTGAGGGTTTTGGGTGAGGGCTTGGAGCTTTGATTTGAAGGTTTGGAGGTGAGGAGTGTGGGACGATGCGCTTCTGGATATACTGTAGGGGCCTAAAATAATTTCCTATACTATTTTTTTTTGAGGGGGGGGGGGCTCCTTGTTATAAGTATAGCCCCAAACTCTATACTAACTATAAAGGCTTCTATATAAGGCCAACTCCCAGGTTCTTGCGTGCGCCCCGACTGTCGTAAGTAGCAGTACAGTGCAGAACATCTCCGGCGAAGCAAGCGCAGTTGGGTCTAGGGTTTAGGGTTTAGGGTTTAGGGTTTAGGGTTTAGGGTTTAGGGTGGTATTATGCCGTTCCATCTCTGATACAGTTCCGTGAGCTTTCAGTCAAGGCACAAACTACAGATCTCTCGGCCCTCGCTATCTCTCTACAGAAAATATAGCAGCTTTAACGGATTAACTTAACAAGGACTAAGTCAAAGAAGTCCTTAGGTTTTCATGACTGGTTAAATGCTTGCCAGTCACCGAAGCAACAAGACATCATAAAATCATTGAGACCTCGCGTGTCTCGTGATAAGAGTTGAGCAGGCCGCCATCACATCTTCGAAACCTGTGATTGGGAAATTGGGTGCTGCACATTCCAAATATGCGCAAACTCTGGCATGTCTCTGGGGACACCCCATGCAGCTCTGGCGCCAAGATGTAGAGATTTTGTGTTCTTCTTGAGTTAGGGTGGTAGATGGGTGTAGCATGCACCCTCCTTTTCACACAAGCACATCCATGTGTGTATATATATATATATTTATACACACACACATTTGTATGTGTGTAATATATAAACAGGCACTCTCGCTCTCTCTCTCTCTCTCTCTTTCTCTCTCTCTCTCTCTCTCTCTCTCTCTCTCTCTCTCTCTCTGTGATTAAACGTGACCCACATGCGGTACCGGAGCTTTGATACGCAAAAAATACGTTGAACGTCTACAGGGTTAAATCTACTGTAAAATTGGTATCGAAAAAATGGACTACTGATGTAGGACAGCTTCCAAAATCCCTAAGCCGTGAGCCCCCCACACCAAACATCCGAAGTATAAGCCCTGATGGGATTGACAGCATAATGCCGTAGTGAAAAAGCTGTATAAGCTCACAATTCTGGAAGCCCTACATCAAGGAATATATAGAAAGAGGCCCACAAAGGCACACAAACGCATTGAGCCGCGCAAGTACAGACAAACAATACCAAACGCAAACAAGCAGCGCTACAAAGAAATCACAGAGCCACACTAACATGCATCAACGCCATGTGCATACATGTGCATTATGTATGCATGCATGTGTGTATGTATGTATGTATGCATGTATGCATGTATGCATGTATGCATGTATGCATGTATGCATGTATGATGCATGCATGCATGCATGCATGCATGCATGCATGCATGCATGCATGCATGCATGCATGTAGGTATGTATGTACCTACGTATCTATGTATGTATGTATGTATGTATGTATGTATGTATGTATGTATGTATGTACCTACGTATCTATGTATGTATGTATGTATGTATGTATGTATGTATGTATGTATGTATGTAGGTATGTATGTATATGTATGTATGTATGTATGTTCGTGGTACGTGGGTGGGTGGGTGGGTGGAAACGGACAGAAACAGAGACCGGGACAGAGAGAGAGAGAGAGAGAGAGAGAGAGAGCACGGAACAGGAACGCGACCGGAACTCGGGCCGAAGATCCCTTGTCCTACACCACCGGCATCGCGATTTTCGTGATTGCGACTTTGCAGCTTAAAAGTGCTGGGGTTCTGGCGGCTTTCACGGTTTTCTAGGAATTCCGCCAGGGGTTTACAAGAGTTCCATAGCGTTGCTGAAAGGGTTTTAGGGTTTAGGGCAAGGGGCTGAAATTTTTGGGACGTTCAGGGCTTGGGTGTAGAGTTTGGGGTCGAAAGCTTGGCGGCCAGGAGAAGATCTAGAGTTTACAATCAATGGTTTAGGGCTTGTGGTTTGAGGCTCTTTGGTTTGGGTGCAGGGCTTTGAACTCCGTTTGGTAACCTTCATGCTTAGTTCGAGGCCGCCGGCGACAACAGCAGGGACTGTTGGCAGGCGATCATGTGGGGTCGTTGTATGCCAAGGGGTTCCGTTCAAGCACCGTTTTAAAGCCGGACTCCGTCCTGTATTATTTGTGAATGTAAAACCCCTCAATAGCTTGGTAAGATCCATGTTTGCTGAACATCTCTATTCACGCACAGACATTGCCGAAGTGCCACGTAGCCTAAAATCGTAATGGCACGAGCCTTCACCCCAACGTTGACCGGTGTAATCAAAAAGTTTCCTTAAGCCTTCAGCCCTAAACCCTATAAATCCCTAAATCCCAAAGCCCAGTTTAAACCCTCTATATAAGCCCTAAACCCCGAAGCCCAGTTTAAACCCTATATAAACCCTAAACCCCGAAGCCAAGATTAAACCCTCACCGTACCGCGCTGATTGGTCCAGGTGCTCCTGAACGCGGGCATTGCTGCCTGGACTGAGCACAAAGCCGGAGACGCGCTGGAGGCAACTGGGGGGTCCTGATGCCCTCGGACCCTAAACCCTAAACCCTAAACCCTAAACCTCTAAACCCTAAACTCTAAACCCTAAACCCTAAACTCCAAACCCTAAACCCTAAACCCTAAACCCTAATCTCTAAGCCCTAAACCCTAAACCCTAAACTCTAAACCCTAAACCCTAAACCCTAAACCCATAGCATATTTCCAATGTTGAACCCTAATGGATAGCATTAGCAAGCATTCAGGCCTCTGCATTAAGCCCTAGACCCAAAAGCAACCCTGAAGCCTAAACCCCTGTGCAAGGAACCCGCAAAGCACCATACGAGCACCGAAAAAGCCTATGCATACTCTATCAAGATGCGATAAGGACCCTCAAAACCCTGCACCCTAAACGCATGCAGAACCGTTCTCAGGACCCTGAACCCCTAAAGGAACCCGTGCAGGAACTTTCAAAGGAAACGTGAATGAAGCCTTAAAGGAATCAACCCTAAACGGCCCTGAACTATAGACCCCAAAACCCTAAACCCGAAACCCTTAAGCCTTTGAATGAAGCCTTCAAGGAATCAACCCTAAACCCGAAACCTTACAAGACCCGAAACCCTTAAGCCCTTAAGTGAAGCCTTCAAGGACACCGTAAAGGAATCCAGACTAAACCCTAAACCCTAAACCCTAAACCCTAAACCCTAAACCCTAAACCCTAAACCCTAAACCCTAGAAAGCTCCCCTCCCTCCTCTTCCCCACGAGGCGCTCTCCAAGATGACCCAAGCAGCGATCTATGCCCCGAGCTCAGGGTTTAGGGGTTTAGCATATAGGGTTTAGGGGTTTAGGGTTTAGGGTTTAGGATATAGGGTTTAGGGCTTGGGTTTATTAGGGTTTAAATTTAGGATATAGGGTTTAGGGTTTAGGATATAGGGTTTAGGGGGGTTTAGGGTTTAGGGGTTCAGGGGCGAGCAGTCGTGCGACAGATTCGCCGTTGAGTGAAGGCCGAGAGGTGGACTTAATTGTGAGAAAAACCTCGGCTCCTGGTTTCGGGTTGTGGGGCTTAGGACTTCGGGTTGAGCCGAAAGAACACAACGTTCCGAGCAAGCAGTGTGCAGGACTTCCCTGTGTCGCCCTCATCTCAGACAGTCCGGTATCTTTGATTACCCTAAACCCTAAACCCGAAAGGTGGTTCGAGATGGGCATCCTGGCCAGCAAGATGGAGGTCGTGGATGCTCATTTAGACAAAGACCAGCTAGCATTCCGGAGGAATGAATGCCGGGGAATGTGTTCCGAAACAGAGCTGCGTAGCAACACATCAAGCATCATACTGCAGAGGGAGGAAATACAGGCGCACTTGATCAGTTACTGGACAGTCCTTGCACAAGGAACCCGAGACACAAGAACTGACTCCGTTGCTCATTGTAGTTCTTGTGCAGCACACACACACACACACTGGCACAGTGGTTCCAGAAGGTTGTCGTGCTGTTTTTGACGGGCAGCATTTGTCGTCGTCCCATGGCTCCTATTGCAGTCAAAGTCATTACCTTCTCCAGCAGATTCCAGTGCAAGGGCCTTAATAATTGGAATAGGGTTTTTTGGGGTTCCTTATTGTTATTCTTATAGTATTATCTACACCCAAACCCTATTCTAATTATTAAGGCCCCTACATGAGCAGCTTGTCAAGTTCATGGCCAGTGGCTGTGTTATCAGCAAGACTGTCCTAGCGGCCCTAGCGCCCACTCTGCCTGCTTAGCCATGAACCCGAACGACCGCTACGGCTACGAAGAGGCGCTGTCGGCGAGGATGACCAAGTTCGGGGATGAGGAAGTGTTGCTGACAGTCTCGGATGAAGAAGATGAAAATGACGACGAGGGCTACAGAGGCTTCAGGTTCCCAGAACCAGTCCCAAGGCACCAAATAGCAACAGTGCACTTCGACGAGCAGGGCCTTCATGCACACAGCCTAAGTGGAGAGAAGTTGTTCGAGATTCAGCAAAGTCGTCTGCAGGCTGAGCTCTTCACTGCTGGAATGCTGTTGCAGCTGATTTCAGAAGAGACAGGGTGCGAGGCCGGAGTTCTTCTCCAGGCTGGCCGCGAGCTCTCCATGTCCGACCCCGTCCGTGGAGAAGGGATTCTTACCCTAAAACAGACGATTCCAGACTGTCGACCCCTTCTTTGCCGAAAGGTCGACCGTCCCGGCAATCCGGTTTTCGGGGAGGGGGAGGTGGTGCTGGACTTGAGTGGGCTCCTGGAGCCCGTCCAAGCACTGAGAGAATGGCGGACACGGGTGACCAGAAACTACCAGGGTGCGGCGAATCGAGAGCACGATTGGCTGGTTTACACCCAGCGCGAAGTCATATCCTACGAGGCAGGCAGAGACGAACCGTTGAAGCCCTTCGGCTATTTCCCTCACGCACCTCTTTGGAAGACTCCAGCAGGGACCAGGCAGTGGGGAGGCGAACGGAGTGATGTCTGGACTACTCGCCTAGAACTGCCTGTGAAACAGCTCTTGGATGAGCACGCAGCCCTGACACTCGACAAGCCGATACCACGCTACCAGATGATCGTTGATCCTAATCAGTTTGTTCACCAGGCACGTGGCGGGACTAAGTGGGTGCCGTGCGAGTTTGACATTTCTGCAGATGGCACTCCATCGTTGGTGGGTGGTATGCGGAGTCACAGGTATCCACACCTTGCTCAGCATGTTGCATGCCCGGTCCTCTCTGCAGCTCTGCCCTTGTTGGCGAAGTTGCGGCGACCGCAACTTCTCCTGGATGACCGGCGGTTGCAAGTTGTGTTTAAGGCACAACGCATAATCGTTCCAGGAAATTCTAGTGACAACTCGGATGCAGAGTACGTCGGTCTGTGGCATGTCGATGGCTACAGAGAAAATGTGGCTGCCGTCGTATTGTACTACTACCATGTTGATCCTTCTCTTCGTGGTGGTGACATGGAGTTCTGTGGCCGTGAGCCCATGGATGTTCTTGGCGCCGGTGATTGCAGCAACAACGTCGATGATTTGGGATCAAAGTCCCTTTCGTTGGCTTTCCGAGGTGGCGCTTTCCGAAAATAGGGGACCCTAATATGGCACCCTAAATAATAGGATCCTTATAATAAGGACCCCAAAGTAAGGTACCCCCTATTTTTTGGAAACTCCCAGGTACAAGCAAGAGTCAGAGTGACAAGTCTGCAGCAGTGCACAACTCTCGGGTTCCCATTGGTGAGGGCACTCTTCTGGTGTTTTCGAATTATCAAATGGCACACCGGGTGCTTCGGATGAAAAACACCGGTGAGACAGAGGCTTCGCGTGACTTTGTGGCGCTCTTTGTCCTTGATCCGTCTGCGCCGGCCCTCCTGCCCGCAAGAAGCGTTCTGGCAGCGCCACACTTGCTGACACGGACCCTGGCTCCTGCAAAGATTCCAATTTCCGAGATCCAGATCGTGCTGGAGTTCCTGGGAGTCTCGCAGACCGATGTCATGCGGAAGCTGCAGCGCAACCAGCTACTTTCGGAGCAACTGAAGCCGTCCGGTGAGTTTGCTTGCGCGGGAAGTGCACGTGTTGTATGCACCGGGAATGGATGCTATACAATGATCGGCTGGTTGCACAAGCTGCTCGAGGACAGGGATGCAGATCCCTTCGATGAGGTGAACCCGAGAGGTCTTGAGCGCTTGGCGGCGCTGAACCTGGCTCCCGAGGGCTCCGACCGCGGTCTCTCCGAGGCTCTCTCGCTGCCCACTGCAAAGCTGAAGCAAAGGCTCAAAGAAATCGGAAAGGGCTCTGACTCCGAGCTCGGCTCTGAAAATGGCTCTGAGGACAGCGAAGGGGCCGAGAGCCATCCCAATGAGACCCAGCATCGGGGCGGCGCTGCTCCGAGACTGAGACGGCAATGTGCGGTTTCCTGAGATCCAAGATCCTCCCGGTACCTTTCATGGGTTTTAGGGTGGCTCCCTAGGTATGGAGGGTGCGCTAGAGGTAGATGGAGGGGCTGGGAGGGCTTGAGGAAGCTAAGCAGGCAAAACTACAGTGTACAGGCGCATCAGACTTCCACCGGCGGTCAGCACAAGGAGTGGCAGCACCAGGGGCAGGAGCAGTCGCAATAGCAGTGCCTGCAACCACGGTGGTTGTTGTCGTTGGTGTTGTTGGTGTCGCTGTCGTCGTAGTTGTTGTCACTGTCGCTCCTTTCAGGCAAGAAGTGCAAATTCCCACCAACCACGTGGTGCGCGGTGACGTGGTCGTCCTGGGCACTGGAGATGTCGTCCCAGCGGATCGGGCCTCAGCTTCGTCGATGGTCGCTGTAAGCGGTTACTTAGCGAATGTATTAAACTTTTGCTAGGCTTCCTATGAAAGGGGGGTTTATGGTGGGATAAGGTCATTGCATTGAGGCCCTTTTGTACTCCGATTACTTTGCCTGTGCGCCGGCCTGAACCAGCAAACATCCTGTTATTCCGAGGCGATACCGGGGATCATAACCTACGACTTTTGGTCGGGTTCTGGGCTGCTGGTAGGGTTTTACCACAAACCATCTCGTAAAGCATGGCAGTCGTGATGCCGTACAGAGTCTGCAACCACCGGCAACAGCAATACCGGCAAAGAACGCCTTTGCTCACAAACCCCCAAAACAAATAAAGCCCAAAGCCCTGTAATCAGGAACCTTAACCTTATAAACCCTGACCCCCAAACCACCAAAAGCCCTGAAGCCCAAGAAAAACCCTAAGCCGAAGCCCGGAGCCGTGCTTAAGCCCCTCATGAACCTTAGCCCTAAGCCCTATGAAGCTTAACCACCAACCCCTAACCTCGAAACGCCTCAGGCCGGAACACCCTAACACCCCTAAACCCCCTAACGAAGCCCGCTGCTTCTCCCGGCACATCAGAACCCTAAACCCTAAACCCGCAAGCAGGACATGCGCCTCGCTGAGTCCGAAGATCTGAAGGTGAGCGAAATGGCGCTCACAGGCGCGGGTGCTTTCCGGGGTTTTGAGTTTAGGGTTTTTGGGTTTAAGGTTTAGGGTTTAGGGTTTAGGGTTTTTGGGTTTAGGGTTTTGAGCCGTTGAGGGCGTTGTAGGTTTTGTTGTTGGGTTGACTAACATTTTTGTGTGGGCTTCTTCAAAGCAGCATCCCAGGTTGAAGGAAACTCAGGTCTGCAAGAATCATATAAGCGTCCCATTAGTTAGGGCAGTTAGGGTCTTTGCAATAGTCCTGTGGAAGTGGAAAGATGGTAAGCGAAACTACGAAACCTGTGAAAGCCCGCGTGATAGTCTGCATAAGCTCTTTTGCTTAATCGAGGAATTCTGGAGTCTCTGGTAAGGCTTCAGATATATGTGTGAACAGCTTAAGCTTTGTAGACTTCAGATTACTTCTCCCGTCGCCGCTACCTAAGCTCCGACACCGGTGTCCTGTAGAACGATGGTATTTGAGGGGGGAGCTGTTTTAAATGTTATGGTCGCTTCAAGGATTCTCAGTGCTTTTGGTAGGTTTCCATGAGATAGTTAGTTCCAGGATGCTCTTCTTTTCAACGCGTGCCATCTGTCACGGTGCCGATTCTTGACAGCTCATCCACAACCCTGAGCCCTAAACCCTAAACCGCCCTAAACCCTAAACCCGTTCTGCTCGGCTCGTGGCGGTGAAGCATGCAAAGGTATCGACCCAGTCTGCTGACTTCTCGCGGAGAGAAAAACGGTCCGGTAAACAAAAACACACCCTTAACCCTTAATCCTAAACCCGAAGCCCTAAATCCTAAACCCCAAGC